ATTTTTCATCCTATGCTATATAAATGAACATTTAAGATTTTAAAACTTCTCCCTAATTATGGACTATTGGCTGCTTGATGTTAACCTTGAAAGCCGTAGGCACAAGCCTAAATGTGAAAGAGAGCTAGCTTTGATAAGTATATGGAATGGAACAGGCATAAATGGAAGCCTTAAACTGAAGAACTCTACATGCTTGGTCATAAAATTGATCTCAACAGGCTTAGCTGCAGAACAGGTGGGGAAAAACTGGTATTTGTGGGTTGTCAGGGGAGGAAGTCACAAAGGTTTTTAGACATTAAAATAGCTTTAAAAGATTCTCCCATACACATTTGTGTGTTCCAGGCACATTTGTGTGCTTATTATGTGCTAGGCTCTTGGGATATACTGGAGAAAAAGATACAGTACTTGCCTTCGAGAACTTACCATCTACTGGAGGAGTCAGACAACCAAACCAGATAACAAACACACATATTAAATAATGATGGATTGAAATGACTGCTCTGAAGAGAGGACAGAGAAGGAGGATGTCTGAGGGAGTCACCTGAGGCAGTCCTCTCTGAGCAAGTGGCTTTAGTATGAAGCATAAGGGTTATACTTGCAAAGAGGGAGAAAGAATTGTCCTGATTGAGGGACAAGAGCCCGTGCTAAGAGCCTGTGGCAGGAGAGATGGCAGGTGGACTGGTAGACCACATGGCTGGAGCACAGGGAGGGAGGAAGACAAGGATGAAGTTGGGCCAGGGGATTAGGTGGGGTTCTTTTAAAACCAGAAAGTTTTTTGTTAGAAATAGAAGTAATTATTTAGCTTTTCTTCTGAGCCTGAAAACATTTTTAAGCCTCTCTAGTTTATGTGCTGTAATAAAAAACTCTTTTCTCTCCAAAGATCAAGCTTTCATGTGAAGACATTTAAATGAAGAAAATGAGCCCTTTTCCCACATGTACCTCCTGCAAGTTAACTGTGCTGACCTGTCAGGATCTAGCAAAGACTAATTTTCCAATATAAGACTGCTTTATCATTAAGAGCATCAGTGCGAGACATCTCCCTTAACATTTCTATTTGTCACTTTCTTTGAAAGTCTTTCTTAAGTTATATATATATATAAAAAATCCCTGGCACCACCAGCAGATATGTAAAGTGAATACACATAAATGCATGAGTATGACACACACATGCAATGCTCCTGCCAGATGTACAGGAACCAGATGAGGCGACATGGGCACTGCATTAAGATGCTCGTCACCTAGTGGATGTCGGGCAGAGGGCAGTCTTTAAGACCCAGCAGCGTACTATTTGTCTGGAGAGGAAATGTTGCTTTTTGACAGATGAGAGAAATCCCCTCAGTGCCGGCTGTGGGAAGCGAGAAGTGAAGTCAGTCACCTGGTGGTGAAGGCCAGTAAAACAGCAGAGCAGGAGGAAAATTTTTCTCTCCCTCTCTGGCTTTATCTCTCTCTCTCTCTCTCTCTGCCTCGTTTCCTCCTCTGTAGAATCCACCTCCTATTCTCTCAACTCTAGCATAACCTTCAAAGGGGAACGTTCCCTTCAGACTTTATCTAATCTTCTTTTCCCCACTGAGAGAACACCTCTTAGCTGCAAGACGTTTTTTAAATCTGTGCAGGACTTTGAGGATTTGGTTATCTTGCCAGGGAAATTGATCATCGCTAATGCCTGGGACTCAGTGTAAGCCCGGCGGAGGAAGGCTTTCATCATACCCTCTTCTCTTCAGTTTGAACACATTTGCTTGAAATTTGCCGCATGATGCTGTCCAGGGAAGCAGCTTTTCTTCTTGGGATGCAGCAAATCGCTGGTTTCTAAGCTTATTGCAGAAGCAGAAATAATCTTACATACAGAGTGGATCTCACCCCGACCCCTGCTTGATTCGACAGCGCTGTGTGGCACCTTGGTAAAGATCACCTGTCACCAAAGCTTTGAGGAAGTACAACAAACTGAATCGTATTTATTATTTATTTATTTGTATTATTTTTAACCGGTGGAGGCGGCGTGATCACGGAGAATGAGACTGAGAGAGGCTGCCAGGGCTTGGAGGAGGATAAAGCTGAGTTTAGGCTGGAAACTAAAAGACTAGATTGTTTTTTGGCCCAACTTGCCCGGTTCCTCTCCACTTCCTTTAGTTTCGCTCCATGGACAGATCGACAAACCTGGACATCGTGGAGCTCAAGGTACGTGATGCTCCGCGCGGCGTTCCTTTCCCGCTTTTCCGCCGCCTGGTCCCGGCGCCTCTGCAGTCGCTGGGGGCCCCGAGGGCGGCGGGCGGGCATTCGGGGTGCAGCGGGCGCCCCCCAGGGCCCAGGACCTTGGAAATTCATAAAATAGTAAAACACTTGGAAGTCTAGTGCTATGACCCAAATTTGGAATTGATTTGGAAATCACCAAAGTTTCTGTAGCTCATATAATGCCAGCCAGGTCAACATCAAATGTTGAATATAATTTCATGTTATTAAGAGTGAATTGAAGTCTTTTTATATATGAATATATATAACTTAAAAAAATATGGTTAAGCTTAGGCTTTATTATTAAGTAGAATATCACCTTTTCTTCTAGCTGTAATTTTTTTCCCATTCTTAGAAACCATGAGGCATCTGACCTTTCTAAATAGTGTTTAAACATTAATGTTGTTTACAGAGGTCTTTCTTGGATTGTTCTCACAACTGAAAATTTTAGTTATCTAAGAGATATTATCACTTTGTTAATATGTATAAAATAAGTTTTCTTATTCTGTTTTCTAAATTTAAGCAATAACAAGTTGATTGGGAATATAAACTTACATGGAAAGACCTGACTTTTATAAAAGTATGTTATTCATGTTGAATTATTGATAATTTCTAGAAAAGTTTTTAAGAGTTACACATTTTACATAACTTCATTTACACTCAACCAGAAGCCTTATCATTTTTCATCCTATGCTATATAAATGAACATTTAAGATTTTAAAACTTCTCCCTAATTATGGACTATTGGCTGCTTGATGTTAACCTTGAAAGCCGTAGGCACAAGCCTAAATGTGAAAAAGAACTAGCTTTGATAAGTATATGGAATGGAACAGGCATAAATGGAAGCCTTAAACTGAAGAACTCTACATGCTTGGTCATAAATTTGATCTCAACAGGCTTAGCTGCAGAACAGGTGGGGAAAAACTGGTATTTGTGGGTTGTCAGGGGAGGAAGTCACAAAGGTTTTTAGACATTAAAATAGCTTTAAAAGATTCTCCCATACACATTTGTGTGTTCCAGGCACATTTGTGTGCTTATTATGTGCTAGGCTCTTGGGATATACTGGAGAAAAAGATACAGTACTCGCCTTCAAGAACTTACCATCTACTGGAGGAGTCAGACAACCAAACCAGATAACAAACACACATATTAAATAATGATGGATTGAAATGACTGCTCTGAAGAGAGGACAGAGAAGGAGGATGTCTGAGGGAGTCACCTGAGGCAGTCCTCTCTGAGCAAGTGGCTTTAGTATGAAGCATAAGGGTTATACTTGCAAAGAGGGAGAAAGAATTGTCCTGATTGAGGGACAAGAGCCCGTGCTAAGAGCCTGTGGCAGGAGAGATGGCAGGTGGACTGGTAGACCACATGGCTGGAGCACAGGGAGGGAGGAAGACAAGGATGAAGTTGGGCCAGGGGATTAGGTGGGGTTCTTTTAAAACCAGAAAGTTTTTTGTTAGAAATAGAAGTAATTATTTAGCTTTTCTTCTGAGCCTGAAAACATTTTTAAGCCTCTCTAGTTTATGTGCTGTAATAAAAAACTCTTTTCTCTCCAAAGATCAAGCTTTCATGTGAAGACATTTAAATGAAGAAAATGAGCCCTTTTCCCACATGTACCTCCTGCAAGTTAACTGTGCTGACCTGTCAGGATCTAGCAAAGACTAATTTTCCAATATAAGACTGCTTTATCATTAAGAGCATCAGTGCGAGACATCTCCCTTAACATTTCTATTTGTCACTTTCTTTGAAAGTCTTTCTTAAGTTATATATATATATAAAAAATCCCTGGCACCACCAGCAGATATGTAAAGTGAATACACATAAATGCATGAGTATGACACACACATGCAATGCTCCTGCCAGACGTACAGGAACCAGATGAGGCGACATGGGCACTGCATTAAGATGCTCGTCACCTAGTGGATGTCGGGCAGAGGGCAGTCTTTAAGACCCAGCAGCGTACTATTTGTCTGGAGAGGAAATGTTGCTTTTTGACAGATGAGAGAAATCCCCTCAGTGCCGGCTGTGGGAAGCGAGAAGTGAAGTCAGTCACCTGGTGGTGAAGGCCAGTAAAACAGCAGAGCAGGAGGAAAATTTTTCTCTCCCTCTCTGGCTTTATCTCTCTCTCTCTCTCTCTGCCTCGTTTCCTCCTCTGTAGGATCCACCTCCTATTCTCTCAACTCTAGCATAACCTTCAAAGGGGAACGTTCCCTTCAGACTTTATCTAATCTTCTTTTCCCCACTGAGAGAACACCTCTTAGCTGCAAGACGTTTTTTAAATCTGTGCAGGACTTTGAGGATTTGGTTATCTTGCCAGGGAAATTGATCATCGCTAATGCCTGGGACTCAGTCTAAGCCCGGCGGAGGAAGGCTTTCATCATACCCTCTTCTCTTCAGTTTGAACACATTTGCTTGAAATTTGCCGCATGATGCTGTCCAGGGAAGCAGCTTTTCTTCTTGGGATGCAGCAAATCGCTGGTTTCTAAGCTTATTGCAGAAGCAGAAATAATCTTACATACAGAGTGGATCTCACCCCGACCCCTGCTTGATTCGACAGCGCTGTGTGGCACCTTGGTAAAGATCACCTGTCACCAAAGCTTTGAGGAAGTACAACAAACTGAATCGTATTTATTATTTATTTATTTGTATTATTTTTAACCGGTGGAGGCGGCGTGATCACGGAGAATGAGACTGAGAGAGGCTGCCAGGGCTTGGAGGAGGATAAAGCTGAGTTTAGGCTGGAAACTAAAAGACTAGATTGTTTTTTGGCCCAACTTGCCCGGTTCCTCTCCACTTCCTTTAGTTTCGCTCCATGGACAGATCGACAAACCTGGACATCGTGGAGCTCAAGGTACGTGATGCTCCGCGCGGCGTTCCTTTCCCGCTTTTCCGCCGCCTGGTCCCGGCGCCTCTGCAGTCGCTGGGGGCCCCGAGGGCGGCGGGCGGGCATTCGGGGTGCAGCGGGCGCCCCCCAGGGCCCAGGACCCGGGCGGCTTCCGGGAGCGGGGTCGCACCCCGGCCGCCTCCCCGCGCCGCCTCGGGCGGCAGCGCCCCGTCCTGCGGTCAGTGGCCGCGGCGCTCGGGGTGCCGACCGCGCGAGCGACGCTCACCTGGCCCGGGGCGGCCGGCCACTCGGCAAAGTTGCCCGAGCGACGCCGCCGCTTTGCCTCCGCGCCGCCCTCGCGGCCCGGGCAGCCTGCTCGCGCTGCGGGCCTGGGGGCAGAGGCGCCGCGGCCACAGCCGCTCGCGGCCCCGCGCGGACGCGGACCCCGGCTCGGTCTCGCCTGCGCGGGCGCTGCCCCGGGCGCGAACTCGCGGGCGGCGGGGCAACCGCGCCCGAGAAGGGACTGGAGGGGTCCCCGCAGCCCCAAGAGCGGACGAGGCCGGGCGGCGGGGGGCGGGCGCCGAGGGGCGGCGCCGGCCGGGCTCCGCGTCCCGCCCCCTGCGGGCGGTGCTGTCCCACCCGCGGGGCCCCGCGCTCCCTCCGAGCCCCTTCCCCCTCCTTGGCCCCGCGGCGGTCCGGAGCCTCCAGGCTGCACTTTGCCCCTCTCTGCCTGTGGGCACTGCTGCCTGCAGTGCCTGTTTAAGAGAACAGAAAAAAATAAAGACCCTTCCAAACCACCAAACTACGAAATCTTTTAAATGTCCCGCTCACTGTAAATGAGAAAGCAGGAAAGGGGGCGAAGCTGCGAGCATGCTTTCTAAATCTCCACCCTTCTTTATCACCGAGGCCTTTCACACACTCTTGCTTCAGAGGATCATTATTATTTTTTATTGAGATTAAGTTCAAATGGACTCTGTGCGAGAGGGGACTTTGGGACAGCCCAACCGACGTGGGAACCCTGACTAGTAGAGGTTAGCTGGGAAGTCAGTAAACCCGATTTGCCCGGGAAGCCGAGAGGGCTGGAGAAAGCCCCTGTGGAGGGCGAAAGGCTGTCTGCAGCGGAGCGTGCCCAACCCCGGAGCCCCGGTCTCCTGGAACGCGGGCACGTCCCCCAGCGCTCCGAAGAGCAAGAGGGACAAGGAAGAAGGGACAGAAAGGGGGCGCCTGTGCATGGCCCTGTAGACGCAGTGGGGTGGGGGTGGATGGGGTGATGAAAATTTAGGTACCACTCATGCTGCATGTCTAAATTCTGGCTTTGTAGTAAAAAGGGAAGTAAGGAGGAGGCGTATTTGCTGGTCTAGTTAAAGTTTCAAAACAAGTTTCTTCGTTAAGGCCAAGGTCACAGTCAGTAGACCTTAGACCTTGGTTGGAAGAGAGGTTCTCTGACCATCTCTCCTCTACTAAGATAGAACCTACTGCCTCTGTGTTTGAAAGGATCCCTTGCTGCCATTTCCCTGCCTCCCAGTCTCTTGAGAGAGGCGTAGGTTTTATTTGGGATGTCGAAGAGAGAACGTGAACCACGTTTCTGATGCATATTTCATGCAAAGGCAGAGTATCCAGATTTGTTGTTGCTGTTAAATTTAGGGTATGGCACAGAAGAAAGCATTTTCTTTTGAGAAATGGAAGGGGTTAATGATTCCGGGTGATCATTTCCTCTGATATCCCATTAGTTGCCTACAAGCGTATCCCTCACTGATTCCTGGCATCACTAATTTGTTGAAACCAGCAAAAGAGCTAACTCACTGTGGAGACTTCTGTGTAGTTTAGGAGAAGATCCCAGCTTAACCTCCAAGCTACTACACACATGAACTCAGAGAATTCTCACAACTAGAGTGTGCTAGACTTTGTTGATGAGCAGCAGAGTAGAAACTGGAAGGGCTTGGGAGTTGAGCAAGTATACGGGCAGTGAATGGGAGTAAATGAAGGATGTTAGAGGCAAAGATCTGTGGAAGGTACTGAAAAATTATATCAGGGACAAGCCATGTTAAGAGTCAAAACTGGCAAGAGAGGAAATGTAGTCAAGGCTTATTAGAAAACGTTTGAGATCCTCCCATTTGGGAAATAAATTTGTGTTGGTTTGACTACACTGCTGGAACATGAAGGCTTTGAAACACACTCTGGAATATATATGCTTTGTAGATAGAGATGGGTGTACTACTACATGTAACTTGTCTGCATTTGCTTGTATCAGCAACTCCATTGGCTTAGGTTTTCTAGACAAGTCCAGTTGAAGTTATTTTCTGGTAGCTCCTTGTTGATGAGGCCCCCGTGGTGGTCAGTGTAGAAAAGGGAGAGAAAAGCTGGGAATACTTACTTTTGACTATTTGTATGTTGATTTTTCTTCCTGTGACCCAGGGATGTTTCCATCAAGACACATCCATAGAAACACTTCACTTACTGTAATGCTTTAAATACATGCAAAGAAAAGCTGTGTTCACTGAGATTTGATAAATGTATGTGCATAATATTGCAAGAATATTGTTTGGTTTAGTTTTAGATCATTTGTGTCATTGTTAAGTGAAGCTACTTGCCTCAGGTTTTAGAATAGGAAGATTCTGCTAGTTCTTTACCTTTGTGGTGAACTATTTTCTCTGTGAGGTTTTTAACAAAAAAAGTTTGTTTTTGTCATGGTAGATGGACACTGATTGCTTTCATATGTTGTTCAGTGAATACTATTATCTTTTGCAAGTTTTAAAAGTAAAGATAAGCTTCAGTAATTAAGTACTAAGCCATTGCTGTCATTCTCATAAAACCAAACATGTGCAATATTAAAATATTTACTGGTAAAAACCTGAAATACAGTTATGTGTATAAAACTTGCTAATGAAGAAGAATATGTTTGATCTTCTCCTCTGCACACCATCTCCGGATAAAATAGATCAGCGTTAAAACGGGAGAGAGTTCTCCTGCAAAGAATTTTGGTCTGTTCTTTTCTCTTTGATCTTTATCTGTTTCTTTCTCCAAAAATTGCATAAACTTTCCTCTGGATTTTGTCCTGGTGTTTGTTTTAAGGAAAAAACAACATCAAACAACTGAAAATATGGGTTACTGCTTTGGAAATGTGAGTGTTAATGAATTTTGAGGTTAAAGGAAGCACCCTCTATCCTGGAATATCTCTGAGTTATAGAAGACTTTTAGGAGCTGATGTTTAAAATAATAACTTCAGTATTTATTTTAGCTCTGTAAGTACCCTCTTTTAAACAACATATCTTAAGCATTAGAACAGAGAATGCCACTGATATTTAGAGCTGACACTTATAAATTTGCTTTTTGTAGCATTTATTTATAAGATATATTAGCCTGAATAAATGCTTATGTTTTAGTAATTTAGTAATTTGGTGATTCTTTTATATAGCTTTTGAAATATGTTTTAATTCCTTTGTACTAATTTGGCAACCAAAATATGCTTTCAGATGCCAATCATATATTTGTGGATAACTGTAAGTTGCTTTGAGATCAAAAAATAAAATATATCAGGAGTATAATCTAATTTTTGTAGTCTTATTCAATCCCAGCTTTATTTATTTGTCAGGATTATTCCTTTAATGGGATGACTGCATTGAAGTTAAAATGGAATTCTTCTGTTACCAGCAGAACATAAACAATATGCTTCTGGACTATTTTCCTCATTTTGTAAGGTACAAAACTTATAAACTTCATAGTTAATCCTGAACTGCAGAAAACAACTTTTCAACAGATATGACTGTACTTGTTTGAGTTAATTAAATATAGTCCAGTCACTGTTGCTCAATTTTATCTCTTTAATTTAAATAAAATTTCATCTACTAGGACCTTGAAACTTGCCCTAGATAGGCAAGGAAAAAGCTTCCCTGAATAATACAATTAGGTCATTAAGGAAGTATTGCATGGCCGAAAAATGATAATCTAGGAAAAAAAAAAAAGTGCCTAGTAAGCAAGTTGTTGATTCAAAGATGCTGAGATCTTAAACCAAGTCTCATAGTACCTTCTTCTACAATTTCAGTCAAATACGAAAGCTGCTGCTTAGAAGAATTCTAAAAATGTTTTTTTGTTTTATCAATAAGACACTGAGCCCCAGGAAAGTCAGGCTTGCTGCATGTAGGAGGCTTTGTGATGAGTGTAAGTAGGTGGCATTTTTTTTTATGTTAGTCATTCCATAGTGAAAAATAGTACTCTCTAACAAATGTCATATTTTTAGCAACCTGCTTTATATATTCATTTCTCAGCTTAGAATATGAAAACATTTTTGTGAATAATGATTCATTTGACTTCTTTCACGGTGGAAGGAATTATATGTGGAGACCTTCTCTCCATCCAGATCTAGTTACAATCCTCTTTTAATAACAGAAACCAGTCATGAAGACTGGAAAACAGTTCATTAACCTTGGCATCTTTATGTTCAGAATATGGACTTGTTTCATTGACATGGAAGCAAACTTCAACTAACAATAGTGAAACATTCTTTTTTTATAATGGAGGGGATGAGGGAACCTTTTTTGGTATGAGTGGAAAGAAAAATGTATTTCAGGGAAGTTATACAAATGACACAAATGACTATTTTAGAAATCGTCAGTGGCCTGCTGTCATCACTAAGCATATATTCCAATCTCAGTACTGGCTATTAGTGGCTATTACAGCTTTGCTGAACTCCAGACTTTGCCAGTTGAAAATACATCAATTTTTGAAGGTCCAGTAAAAAAGGATATTTTAAGATTTATAGACTCAAAATCGTGGCTACGCAAGATGGTTTAATGCTGGAAGACAGCAAATCAGCATGTATCTCTGAGTCATTCCTTTTATATGATATTTAGGGAGGTGTTTCTCATAGTGTATTGGAATTTCAGCTCAACTGTGATTTAGCAGAGATTACAACTTCAAGTTAGTAAGGAAAATGACCATGTACTTTGTTCACATCTCTGCAGGTTTTGTGCATATACATTTTAATGGATCATTGTATAAATGAATCTTTACGCATCAGAAGAAAAGTT